CGTCTCCCCCCCCCCCCCCCCAGTTTGAATTAATGCATTGGCAGAGGCAGCAGGGTTGTGATACAGGGGCCGGGGGGGGACTTGCACATCCTATTGTGGCCTCATATTGGGAGCTTAGATCCTGAGGCTAAAGCCTGGGACATCTATGCCCCTGCTTTGGGGGGCAGGTCTAGTAGCCCAGGGAAGTTTGGCCTGTTGGTGCTGCAGTCATGAGCCAGGGCAAATGCTGGAACCCCCATCCTCATATTCTGTGGCTTTCTGTCCCTCTTCTGCGAGCTGGTGGTGTCCTTGTCATTTCACCCAGTAGCGTGTCCTACTCAAGCATCTCTTTTGTGTCTTGAGGTACCATTGCAGTAGGTGCCCGCACTACAGGAGCTTCGAGTGTAGGAGCTTCCGAGAACTGCTGGCTTACTTGGATCAGGGTGACTCGTAAGCCTCCTCTAGTCCGTGGACCAAATCCTGGCCCTGCAGAAGTCAATGGAAATCTTTACACTGGCGTTTTCAGGCGTGGTATTCATAGTCCTCCTAATTCAGATGCATTAAAGCTTCCGTGGAACAGCTTGTGGGTTCTCTCTAAAACACCATCTGGCAGGAACAAGAGGAGCCTGGTAGTAGCCCAGGCTTATTTTCTGAATGACTGCAGCAGCATTAAAACCTAATGCCATTAAAACATGCCTGCAATGACGTGTGCCATTAAAACCTAAGAAGACACCCTGAGCTGAATGCCCCCCAGCCTGCCTATTGCTCTTGCAGACCCCATGTGCTGGGCATGGAGGAAGCTTTTTCTTCTGGTAGCACTTCTGAGAGCACCAGGCTTGACGTTCCTTGGCTTCTAAGTTGGAGCCCAGATATGAACCCCTGTATACAAACCCCCTTGCAAAGTCTGTGCAAGTTAAATGCTGGAAGGCAGTAGCTGCTTCGGGGCCATCTCAGTCCAAGTACAGCTTCCCAGGGCCTCTGCCCTAACGCCTGGCCTGTTTCTTGAAGGCAGGAGTGAAGGTCAACTCAACTTCTTGGCTTCCAAGAGAGGTTATCTTCTCTTGACTTGCCAGGAGGCAAGCTGGCAAGATACCCACAGCAGGCTGTGATAAAAAGGCAGGTGAAATCCAGTGTGAAGTGATGGACGTGGGTGAGCAAACCCGATTTGGTGGTGTGTGTGATGGGCCCCGAACTAGCTATTACCATGCAGCAACAAAACCTTAGAGCTGAGCTAAGCTGCTTCTGTAAAACCATTAGCTCTGTGCTCAGCAGAGGTCAGAAAAAGTAAATTGAGTGCAAGGAGCTGTTGGGCTGGGAACAGGGAGAGGAGGAGACATCTTGCCCTGTGCAGGTCCCCGGTGTGCCTGCCTCTCAAACACAGCGTCGGGGCTGGCTGGGGTGGCAAAAGGTATCTGTGCAGGAGGCGGCTCTGTAGATGCTCTGACCCGAAAGACTCCTAAACGAGGTCTAAATGTGGTGAGAACCGTGGGGAAGGTAATTAGGGAATAAGCACGTGTGGCTTCTTCCAGTGCAAGTAGTAAGGGTCACCTGGAGGAGCCATCGGTTAGCAGATTTGGAGTAAACCAGGGGAAAGACTTCTTCATCATAGCTGGCAAACCGTTCCACTCCCTGCCACCGGCCACTGTGCCTGTTATAAGCTGACATGGCTTCAAAAAGCAATTAGACAAATTCATGGAAGAAAGCTCCACTGAGGGCTATTAAATACAAAGAGAAAACCTCTGGCTTGGGCAGCTCTGGAGCCACAGATGCCCATGGGCTGGGAGAATATACATAGAGAGTGTGGCTTGTTGCACTCTTATGCTCTTCTGAAGGCCAAACCCTTGAGGACTTGGTCCAAGGTGAGTGTTGTGTCCTGCCCAGCTGACCAATTGTCTTCTCCTTTCCTCTCTTTCCAGGTTCAGCACAATGAGTTGGCATCCTGGGTGTTAGCAGCGTGAGGAGACCAGGACGGGTGCTGCCCTACTCACCCCTTACCCCCTTGCTCGTTCCTCTCGGGGACACGGGTGCTGGCATCCCTGCCCTGCCCTTCCACCCCTTGCCCCCCGCTTGCCATAGAGGGGACAGGCCCGTTATGGCTGGGGACAGGCTCCCACGCAAGGTAATGGATCCAAAGAAGCTGGCCAGCCTCCTGAGGAACGGAGCGGAGGGCACCCTGGTCATCGACAGCCGCTCCTTCGTGGAGTACAACTCCTGGCACGTCCTCAGCTCTGTCAATATCTGCTGCTCCAAGCTTGTCAAGAGGAGGCTGCAGCAGGACAAGGTCTCCATCACGGAGCTCATCCAGCCCACCTCCAAGATGAAGGTAGGGGATCTGGCCCTCATCTTTCCTGGTGGATGCTCGCACCCTCTTCCCCAGTGGAAAGGGGCAGGGTGGGGGTGGGATGCAGACTGGCCGAGGGGCCGTTCTGTGCCTGGTATGTGCATCCTCCTCCTCCATCCATTCCTTGACCCCAGTATCTGCTGGCATCTCTCTGGCACCCTTTGGAGAGCTGGAGCATGAGCTCATCTGGCCACAGGGCTGTCCTCAGGGACCTGTTCGTTTCCCCCACCCCAGTGATGTGACTCCCTGCTCCAGGAGCCCTCCCCAGGCAAGACTAACAGGTATATCAGCCTTAGGACTTGTCCTACACCAGCAAACACACCCCCCCCCCAAAGCCTTCCTGGAGCTGTAAGCTTAATCCCCTGCTAAAAACTCTTCCCCTCCCCTCTGTCATCTCTAACTCCATTCAGGGACATGTAATCCTCCTCCCCTGTGACGCCAGAAGCTCTTATCCGGTGTCATGGCATATTATCTCTCCCAGGCTCCTCTCTCTATCGCTCCTGGTTAAATAATAGAGGTGGCTCTGAGCCACAGAGCTGGGCTGGAGCCATGGCCAGAACAGCGCCGGGTGCCCCCGTGGTGCCAGGGGCCGGGTCCTGCCCTCCACAGAGGTGCTGCCGGTGGGCTGTGCTGGTGGGTGCCGGGCTGTGGGACGAGCTGGAGGGTGGCTTGCCATCGCAGGCTGCCCTCCCGCTGGCTCGCTTTTACCGTCCCCCCCTTCCCGCCTTGTAATTTTATGGCAAGGCGAGGGTAATTCAGGCGATTAATCAAAGCCGGTGACATCACCCTGCCGGGATCAAGGGGACTCGCAGCGCGGGGGGGACAGCCTCGTGCCAATCTGCTGCGGTGATGCTCCGGGCTGGGCGATTTGGAGGGGATTGCAGAGACTGATTCCTGAACGGCTTTAGCTGCTCTTAAATCCCCGGGAGAATAAAGCAGAATAATCAGTTTTTCACAAGCTAGGAGGAGAGCGGTGCGGCCGCCCTCCTCCTGGCGAGGGTCACCTCTGCAGTGGCCGCTGTCACGTGGAGCAGTGGCAGCAGCAGCAGCAGCAGCAAAAGCGATGCGCAAGGGGGAGGAAGAAGAGGAGGATGACGGGGAAGGGGGAAGCATGGAATAGTTAACGTCAGCTGATGCCGTCTGCCTGCAAACCTGCAGCTTGGCAGCCACAGAGAAGCAGTGGCTCCTGAAGCGGTCAGCTGGTCTGTCCAGACGGTCCCTGCTCTGTCCCTGTAGAAGGAGCAATCGCCTCCCCCCTGCTCCTGGATCATTGCGTAATGGTCCAGGTACTGGCTGGGGACGTGATTATAACCAAGGATGCTAGGGGGGATACAGGAGAGGCATTGACACTGTCTTCAATTCACTGCTTTTTCTTTTTTCTTTTTTCTTTTTTCTTTTTTCTTTTTTGTTTTTTCTTTTTTCTTTTTTCTTTTTTCTTTTTTCTTTTTTCTTTTTTCTTTTCCTTTCCTTTTCCTTTTTCTCTTCTTTTCCTTTTTCTTTTTCACTTCCTTTCCCTTTCCTTTTCCCTTTCCCTTTTTCCTTTTACCTTTTTATTCTTTTACTTTTTCTTTTCCATTTTCCTTTTTCCTTTTTCTTTTCCTTTTCCTTACGGCTGGAATCTCTCCCGGCGCATCCGCGGGCAGGAGGCAGTGTGTCCCCACTGCCGCTCTGCACAGCCCCTGCTGCCCTCACCACTTGCACGCTGGCTCTCCCAGTGCACACAGCCCAGGAGGCAATCAAGCTTCAGGGCACCCTGGTGGGGTTAAGCCCCTTGCCCTGGGAAGCTGGAGGGGAAGACCAGGGTGGTCACAGCCCTATCCTCATCTGGCATAAAGCATAAAGCAGGGGTGGTGCCCATGGCTCAGGGTGTCCAAGCCTTTTTGTGCACGCACCTAAAAGTTTGCATTTTGGGGTGATGAGCTTTCCTCTTTCTTCTTCCGCCACACTTCCGATTTCAGCCACTTGGGTGGCGCGTGTATTTTGGGACCCACAGAAATCAATACAGTCTGCTGCCTGGAGGTGCACAGACCCTCAAAGGAGGGTGCTGAAAGCCGGTTTGGACCTCCGTCACCCCCGTGCCCCCACCTGCCACCGCTGGCCAGCACCCCCTGGCCCTGCTCTGCCCCTGGCCCCCCACACCGGGGCGGGGGGGGCACAGCTGGTGGGGGGAGCAGATGGCAGGAAGGGTGACATCAGTGGCGCGGTTGTCTGGCCCCATTATTGCTCCTGACGGGCCTCCCGCCCTCCTCCCGTTTCCTGCTCCGGCCCAGCCGGGGCTGCCGAGACAAAGGCGGCCGGCGGTCGCCTTTTGGGGAAGGGTGCAAGGGCTGATGCAGAGCGAAGCTTTGGGTCCCCCCCTGGCTCTCCCTGCCGCTCCTCCTGCATGCATGCAGGCAGGGGAGAGGAGAGCATTTGGCTAATTTGCTCGCACCCCTCCTTTCCATCCCTACCATGCTTCTGGGTGCTGTAGTTTGGAGCAGCGCTGTGGGCTAACAGCAGCTCCTGGCATTTTTGGTGCAAGGAAAGGAAAGGGACTGTTTGGTGGAAAAGAAGAAACGGGGAAAATAGAAATCCCTTTGTTTTTCAGTAAAATATGCCTACAGTCGTGGGACATGGAAATGTTGGAGCAGGTCCGGAGGAGGGCTACAAAAATGATCCAAGGGCTGGAGCACCTCTCTTATGAGGCCAGGCTGAGAGAGTTGGGCTTGTTCAGCCTGGAGAAGGCTGCGGGCAGAGCTGATTGCGGCCATTCAGGGCTTAAAGGGGGGCC